ATTCTCCACCATTCAGTCAGAATGGAAGAAGCTTCTTGGGTGAAAAGTGAAATGTTTTCAAGGAAAAACAAAGAAAGTCCAGTTGCCTTTGGAAAAAGCACCTTTGAGGCAACCATGACCTGGACAATTGAGCAACTCCATCAACGTCTGACCCAGAGATGAAGGTGTTTTATCTATGATCTATACATAGTCTTCACACTGTTTTGCTGATATCACATTTATCAAGTGATTTTATTATGTTGCGATATTCTGGTTATATCCTTGTTCAGGTTCATCTCTAGCAGGGTGTTTAATCCTCATGACATGGGCATGGCAGGGCATTTAATCCAGGCAGCAAACAGTTTAATGGAATTCATTCATTCACTCATTTGGTCTACTCAACAAATCACAGTTTATTTATTTAATTTGTGTATTGTTGTATGCCATCCTGAGTCACTTCTGATGAGCTGGGCAGCTATGTAAATCTGACTGATAAACAAACAAACAAATAAATAAATGGCACTTTTGCATACAAATGGACCATATTATAAAATGCATAACGGCAACTGCAGAATAGATAGACCAAAGATAGAGGACATATCTATTTCACAGGCTCCATTAGCCTCCAAAGCCCCAGGTCCAGGCCTTTCTTCAGGAGAAGAAATCCAAGCATCATATCATTAACATTAACATGGTTTTACAAGCTGCAGCAACGACAATTCATGACACAACATGTATGTAAATAATGAAATGTTTTATCACACTGGGAAGGATAATAGTTATCGGAGATTTGTCAAAGCTGCTGAAGGTTCTGATTCAACATGAGGTAAGAGCTGTGGGAATGTGGAATTGCTTATACTGTATGTTGCTTGCTATGTCTGATTTGTGCTCATTCACTCACGATTTTAGCCTATATTGTGCCTACTGTATTATGCCTTATGAATAATGGGATTTGTTTACTATTTCCTCCAAAGAAATAGTTTATGCATTCTGTTTTCATGTACATACATTTATATATGTGCTAATCCATCCAGCAATCAGGGCTACCACATTCATTCTTTGCAGCTATCCCATCTCTTTTGCACAGGAGTCTTCAATATATTGATCTGTTATTGAAATGGATATTTATCCCAGCACAGACTGTTAGGGATGCAAAGGACATCAAATTTCATCCATAAACAATAAAGTCACAGGTATCTTCATTTAGCTCTCCCCCACTCCCCAAATGGAGCTTGGCTGAAAACAAAAAGGACTGCACAGATTTTTGTAAAGTTTGAAAGTCTCGATCCCATCCTAAAGGGATCCTTGCAAATTTAGTCTCCTTTTATAGAAAACAGCAGCTACAGGTAGTCCTCAACTTACAACCATTTGGTTAGTCACCATTCAAAGTTAGAGCAGCACAGAAAAAAATAACCTATGACCATTTTTCAGAGTTACAACCGCTGCAGCATTCCCCATGGTCATGTGATCAAAATTCAGATGCTTGGCAACTGGCTCATATTTATGACAGTTGAAGTCATGTGATCACCTTTTGCAATCTTTTGAGAAGCAAAGTCAGTGGGAAACCAAATTCACTTACCAGCTGTGTCACTAACTTGGTAACTGCAGTGATTCACTTAACAACTGTGGCGAAAGAGGTTGTAAAAATGGAGCAAAATTCACTTAACAACTGTCTTGTTCAGCCACAGAAATTTGGGGTTCAGTTCCAATTGTAAGTCGTGGACTACCCATATTTATATATTTCTGAGGTCAGGCCATGAACCGAGCTCCATTTTGACTGCCTTCACTTCAGATTCTGACTAAAGTGAACAATCTGTGGTGGAGATTTTTTTAAAAAAAAACATCTGCATTGAATCTCAAAACTAAGTTCTATGTTCTTTAGCCAAGCTAACATATACTGTACTGCAGTACATTACTCCACACCACATAGAGAAATACCCAAACTAACGGCACAACCATGGTACTTTGGTATGACCAAATGTGTAGTCTGATACAACATTTTGCAGCTGTCAAAGCAAAGTCAGCCAATCTCTGGTTATCTGAAGGAGAAATGGACTTGTGGACACATGTAGAATTCTGAGATCACATAGTAAGAGGCCTCCCTGGAAATAATTGCTATAGTGAATCTTGCATGGACAATCCCAAAATATTTTATTANACTGTGATCATTCCCATTTAAGATATATAGGTGAATATATTTTCGCACCAGCACATATTCCTAGAACCTCACCCCCAATATTAAGATATATGTTACTAAATATATAATGTCATCATCATCATCATCATCATCATCATTACATTGATGTTACAATGACCATTTTTTTCACACTGGGTTAACCCTCTTAGCCGTCTTTATTAGGTCTCTGGGGAGAGCAAGTAGCTTTTAAGACATTTTTAATATTCATCTTCTTTTGATATGATTTGCTTTCAGTGGATTCATGGGAACCAGGAAAAGGGAGGCAAACTAAAAGCAAATGGGACATCTCTAAAGGCAGCAATCTGGACAGACATTGGGGAAAGTGGGGAGGAAGAGGTGATAGTAGTACGGAATCTGCCTTGTTATCTGGAAATCCTTTCTCGCCATTCCCTTCAAGCCACAGGCTCTCCAGCTTGCCCTTGCTGTCTCACGACTTTGATTTGGAAAGGCAATCAATATGTGCTCATCTCACCATTTCCCTGACTGTTGCAATTTATTCTGCTGAATTGCTGCATTGGCTGGTGTTCTCAACTTCTCCGTTTCCTGGAGTGGTTGATTGCACAACTCACTGCACAGGAAAAGATGGCTACTGAAGGGCTCCCCAAAGGGTATGGAAGATGCTTCAAATTGCCTTTCCTGGAAGAGTGAGGTACCGAAGGGCCACCTTGACTGGAATGGGAGGTATACACTGCATGGTGTTAGTTGATGTAGGGTCATCTCAGCACTGGAAGAGGTCCTGGCTTACCAGTGCTTCTGCCAGCGGTGCCCTACATAGAATCGTAGAGCTGTCAGAGATCTTGGAGGTCTTCTAGTCCAACCCCCTGCCTTATTTCATTCCAGACAAATGGCCATTCAATCTCCTTTTGAAAACCTCCAGTGATGGAGGACCCACAACTCTGGAAGGCAGGCTGCTCCTTTGACTAATTGTTCTCACTGTCAGAAAATTTCTCCTTAGTTCCAGGTTGGATCTTTAAGGATCCTGAAGGATCTGATGAGCTCTAAGCCAATGGCTGCTTCCATCCTCAGGTTAAAGTATGGCACATCTGATCACAGAAGATGCCCTACATGGCCTAGGACCTGGATATCTCCGTGACCGCCTCCTGCCACATACCTCCCAGCGCCCAATAAGATCTCACAGGATGGGCCTTCTCCGGGTGCCG